TGAACCTCTCTATTCATCCACGGCTTCTTATTGCGGGAATGTGGTGATCCTTTTGACTGTCGACATTGGTGTTGATATTGTCCAGAACAGACGAGGCAAAGGCGTTGATGTCAGTGTGGCCTCGGTGGCCAAAACGCTCCAGTCTGTGTGTTCAAACCGGAGCAGTAGTCCAGAATCAGCTCCCTCTGGCCTTACTGTAACTGTCCTCACAGTGGGTTTCACACATGTGATGAGAGGATAGAGGGGTGTATTAGGGGACATGGTCAGACTGTCCTAGGTGGGGGAGGAGGGCAGCTTTGTAAGTGTCCACCATGTTGGTGTAAATGTGATCTAAAGTCTCTTTTGGGGCTGGTTAGGGGGATGTACAGTCTTCAGGTTTAAAGTCAACCAAAATAAGACAGCCTGCCTCTGGATGTAGAGTTTGTTTGCTAAAGGCAGCAGGCAGGATCCAGGATATGTGATGTTTGCAAACAGAGTTGACACACATGTCATGTGCCGAGCCAACTCAAAGGTCGTCATCTTTGGAGCAGGAATATATAGTTGGAAGATAAACATGCTAAAACAGGGTGGGATGCTGGTAGTCGACCTTGGATGTAGAGGATCCTCTTTCCCACCACAACATCATAAACATCGCACACAAAAACATACACACACACAGACAGAAACATGCACCCACACAGGCACACACACACACACACACACACACACACAGGTCAGCACCCCTTGACTTACCCTGATGGAGCTCTCTACCACTTGGCCTATTTGTTATTGTAAAGTATTCCACTAGATGTCCACGTCTCTATAATGTGTCTCCCTAAAGATCATCTTTGAGCTACTAGTTGATATCATGCAGAAGACGAGATTCCAGCTGGTTTGTTCGTTTCAATGATAACCAGCAGTGCAACGAAAGTCAAGACCAATTTTAGAAACTCTGCCCCCTGCGTGATGTGCTTTTTGTCTCCTGATCTCTTTCACTTAAGAGTACAGTGCGGATGACGTCACGGCTCTGCCACTCACTGTGCCTCCATTGTGCCCTGTCCTTTTTCTGTGTGTGCGTGGACATAATTTCCATCAACCATCACCTGGACTCAACTCCAGCACCTGTATGCAAAACAAACCCGGTGGAACACTGCGGCTTCTTTTCACTCATCTACAGACTATTTTGCTCTTACAGTGGTAGTTTGACTCTCGGCCACTCAGTCTTATTTTGACTGAACGTATCTCTTGTATTTCGTGTTTCTTGCTATTCTAACTTGTTACAGGCCTGTATATTAATAAGTGTGAGGTCTGTGGAATGTTTTTTGATTATTGTTATCAATGCCCTAAAGATAATAAGGAATGCAAAGAAATTATTTTCCATTACTTTTGTCATGGTGGGGACATTAAAGGGTTAAGAAATACAACATTTAAATATTCAATTCAAAAGCCATGAAATGCATTTGTTTCTGTTGCAATATAAATAACACCCGTCATAAACGTGAGTACAATAAACATACACGAGTAGCTGCGCTTTAAGATCACATGGAACAACAATGATCTAAAGGTGAGGAAACACATCTACGATCATCTGTTACTCACATTGGTGAAAGAATCCAAACGCACAAAGCAGATGTAGGACTGCACCCTGCGACATGTTGGCTGCACTGATCCTATTTACCTCCGGAAGGTTCTCATTGGTGCACAGGTCCACATGCAAACAGGTAATCCAGGAGTCATACTTTGACTAAAAGACAAATTGTACTTATAATGGCACTTATCTATAGCAAATTGTTAGCGTCAGCTAAAGCGTCAGCTAAATGACATGTTTAATGTACTGTAATGTCATGCCGCAGAACTAAAATTTGTATGGAATGATTTACATCGAGATGATCGGGGACACTGGAACGCTTTAGAGACACACTGCTGGAGAACCAAGTAATTTACGTGTGAATGAATTAAATGAAGGATAGCAATAAAAAGTTCACCAACACTATAAAAAGTTTACACTATATTAATTTACGTGGTTCTGTGTCCCATGACGAAAATATCCAGATAATTAAGCAACCACAATATAGCGGCTTATACACAACAAAACCTATCCAAAAGCCGCAGCAGGCTAAGACACGAGGAGATTATACTCAAGACGCGTCGCACTGAAGTATTTCATCTGATGTTTATTACTCCATTTCACCAGCAGAAAGAATACACGCCAATCACTTACATTGATAGATGCCTTTCATCAGTCAAGAGAGGATCAACAGCGCATAAAACTTCGTAGTGACGTTAGTGACAATAATTACTCCGGTGACGATGATGCTGACGGTCAACAGAAAGTTTGTTCCCCATTCTCACCCTGCAGCCATGCTCCAAACAACCCGCCGTGCCCCACAGGTGAACAGACACACGCTAATATACACACCACACCCCCTTACGGTGTTATAGATACAAATGACGTCACACCACAGGCGCACATACAAACAATGTAGAAATAATACAAAAGAATAATCAAACCCAATGTATGGCTCCTACACACACCTGTGTCATTTATATGACTCTGTTGCTCTGCTGCTTGTTTACTTAATGTGAGGAGCCTCTTTTTATGGATGTAACCAGGGCAACAGCACACATGGAGTGTAACCAGGGCAACAGCACACATGGAGTGTAACCAGGGCAACAGCACACATGGAGTGAACACAAGTGAGATCCATTCAAACAAAATGGCTGCATTAACCAAACAAGAAGTATATATTTATATATAGCGAATAAATGATTAAAACAGAGTAAAATACAACAAACATTTAAAAACTCATTGAATGTTTTGACATTGATGATTAAAATCGATACTACTTTTCACAATAACAACCTTAAAGTCAACGTGTAACATTTTCACACAATCATCAAAAACTAAAGTGCGACACATTATATGTTAGAGGCAAACTTCTACTATTTACTATGTTGCAGTCACAGTGAATACAAGTGACATTAATTGACAACATACTTTTTCTTTTTTCACAATTAAACATTAAATTCCACAAAGCCTGAACAAGTGCGTTGCTTCTAGTTTTATAAATACTTAAAGTGCTGTGTGTTGCAATTAAAGGATAACGGTAGATTTGAACTGTGGACAATAAATCTAAAATAGCTTAACTCACTGTTCAACCTCTAAGGTTAAGATGCAATAAAACAATCATTTTCATGTCTTCTGATTGTTAATAACCTGCCAGGAAGAAGAAAACAGGTTTATTATATACGGAATTATATTACACGCACATTCACGAATGCCGTTGTAAAAATCTCTCACCTCTTTCGTTTCACTGCAGCAGCAACCATGATCAATGAAATGATCAACACAACACTGATTACAAGTGCAATCCTTGAAGGAGACATTATTTTCCCTGGAGACACACAACAAAAAATCCCCTGAGACCACAGTGGGACATTTACACAGTAATGTTTTTACTTGGAATGAACTTCCCCCGATCAGTCACATGACCTCCAGAGAGTTAAAGCCTCTTTAACTACTATTCACTATGTTGCAGTCTCAGTGAACCCAAGAGACATTGGAGGTATTGTTAAGGTTTCGGAAGCTCTCAAGGGAGGCCTCAATCCTTTGTTCTCGTCCCGGCCGGAAACGAGGACACGAATGAGTCAATTCATTTAAATTCAAAAATCAAAAGTTATTTAATAACTGAACAACGTTATAGGGAATGCAATTACAAAGTGAAATACTAAGCGAACAGTGGAATATTTCGCGAAATAGAGAATCCTCTGAGCAAGTCTAAAGTGACTTATCAACGCGGCTGCAGGAGAAAATCTAACAGTCTTTTCCCCGCCACGGTCCTTTGAAAACTCTTGAGGTGTGTCTTCCTTGGTGCATTTGAATGTCATTGGCCTCTTCTCCAAAGGGTCACCTCCTCCATCGTCCCTTCCACGTCGAGGTGTGAAGCTGCAGCTGTAACCTGAAACCTCTCTGTCCTAGCTGTCCCTCACATTCCAATGCACTCAATGTAGATACAGTTGGCTTTATGCCCCAATGAGTGAATTTAACAAAGCATACATCGTTTAAGTCTTCATCTTATAACTAGTACACTTTAATTACAACAACCCATCATTAATGATCACCGTTCATCACACTTCATCATAAGATATAAAACAGTTCATGTGGTTCAATTCTCAAGACATTTCCCTCAGTCGGCTGCCTTGAAATAAGTTGTTCATTTATTACCTGACAGGAGAAAAAACTCCCAAAAAACCCTTTCAAGGATAAAATTGGGAGAAATCCATAAAGAACGGCAATTGGCATCCGTCCCCAGGTTTTAACATCCCATTGTGACAGAATGTTAATGTTTACAGTGTTTATATGATTTAAATGACTATGAATTGTGTTTGATTGAAATTGCATTCACTTCATCTAACATGTTAATGTAATAACTAATATCTAATAACACACAAACTATAATTCTAACACTAAACATTATTACACGTACTATAATTCCCTGACTAGGGGTGCACTTCTGGCTTAAATCCCTAACAGTATTCCAGAAAGGAGGTTCAACAAACTCTGAGTCCCTGAACTCCGAGTTGACTTACTCTGGGATGGGAAACTCTGAGTGCACACTTACTTGTAAACACATACACTTACAGACACATTTTTATTTTATACCGATCAAAGTCATTTAAAATGTGACGCTGTAGCCTACACCAACACTCCTTAAAATACTAATTAAAAAACAAAGAAACGTTGAGTTCTGCTCAGCCAACAGAAAGAAGGCAGAGTGAAAAACAGGTGGAGGGCCACCTCCACCACCTCTGACGGAGGCTGAGGAGCTGGCCATCAGCCTAAACAGTGGTCGCCCGGTGGCTGAAGGTAACCCTGGGGGAAGCTCATCCGAGCCTTTCACCCCCCAGGACACAAGGGACTACATCAGATGCAAGTATGCACTTCTTTAAAAAAAATAAAACTCGTTCTGAACAGTATTTCTCGGTTTTTACATGGCTTGATACGGAATTGAAGGTTTTACTCACCTACTGACATATCCTCCAACATCAGCGGATTGTTGGCTACCTCCCGCTATCAGCGGTGAACACCTGGATTTCTACATCGTTCCAGCGCTGCTACAAGGTTTAACTTTTCTCCTGGGGCAGCCATCTAGCGGTCCCGGTTTTGCCTCGAGCCGATACCTCCGCAGTTGGTAGCTAGCTGTCAGCTGCCTCCAGCCAGTCCTCCGTGCCTCGTGCACCCCACTGCCATAATACAGACCATCTTCTCCCTGTGCCAGACAAGTCTTCCATCTCTGTGTTTGGCTAACGGCTAGCTCCAGGCTAACACCTTCGGCGACCGGCATGAAGCTCAAGTACTCTACCCCACAGCTGCTAACTCTCAACAACCGCTCCACTCCAACGTGCATTGCAGCCATCACTTGGAATTCATCGTCGCCCACGTTACATCCACAGAAGTTCCCGCTAAAGTATGTTTACCATCAGCCTGGCCAGCATCAAACATTCCATCCATCTGGACCACTGTCGCACGTCTGCCGCGTCATCAGAGCAGTGTCGCTCTCGGTGCTAGCAACACGGGAAACAGTGTGTGAGATCTCTGCACACTCAATTAAGCAGCTTGGGAAACACGGCGAGATCTCGCTACACCAAGCAAGCCAGAAAACGTGTAGTGGATTCCAGTGTACTACGGCCTCTACAGAAATCCACCACAGCACCAACACTCAAAATCAAACTTTTCAATACGCAATCCCTCACAAATAAAGCATCCTTCATACAAGATCACATCATGGACAAGGGATTAGACTTCATGTGCCTGACAGAAACATGGCACCAGCCAGGGGTTTACTCAGCACTTAATGAAGTCTGTCCCCGCGGTTACAGCTATCTGGAGAGAGCCCGCAGCACTGGTCGTGGTGGCGGCCTAGCTGTCATCCACCGACAGAACTTGGAACTGTCCCCTCTCCCCCTGCCTACACTGTCCTCGTTTGAATGCCTAGCATTCAAATGTAAACCCCCCTTCCCCATGACAATGCTCCTCGTCCAACGGCCCCCCAAACCCAACTCAGCTTTCATCTCAGAGATACATGACCTTCTCACAACACTCTGCACCACCTCTGCCAACATTATTATAATTGGAGATATTTATATTCATGTAGACAACCCCTCCTGCCACTTTGCAGCTGAATTTCTGCAACTACTGGACTGCCTCAACCTCCAACAACATGTCGATGTCCCCACACACTCCAGGGGGCACACCCTGGACCTGGTCATTTCCAACTCCGCCCCCATTAGCAACCTTCTGGCGTATGATCTGGGTGTGTCTGACCACAAGGCCATCTCAATGGAGCTGCCACTCTTTTCCCCACACACCAAAGACAAGCGTCAAATCTGCTATTGCAGGGGTCTCAAACTCAAATCAGCTGCAGGCCAGATGCAGCCCACTTCAACCGAAGGCGGGCCAGACTAGCGTCCGAACGGCATGGTCGACAATAACACAACTTAACACTCACTTTCAAAAGCAGTCATTGAACCCCACCCGAATGAGACTACAACACTTGTCCTCCTTAGTTACGTGAATCGAAGCTGCGTAGTAATGGACGGAGACGCTCGTCGGTGACGTCAGATGCTTCATGTGTTGTTAGTGTGAGTCGTAAAGGAAAACTTTATTAAACGAGCGATGCTAACGGTTAGTCACATGATCACCTGCGCGAAAGAGGGCAGGAAACTGAATTTCACCCTCCTGCTCTCTGCACCTCGGCCGACACACACGACCCGCCCCCCATGTCAGTCACATGCATGCTACGTTCACTGGACAAGCACACAGTAGGAAACCAGAACATCATAACATGTCCCACACAGCAGCTGACAGTGGGGTTACAGTATAAAACTTGCGGGCCGCACTAACATTACACTTTAATATTAAGGATGGGGCCACAAAATATCGTCCCGAGGGCCGCAATTGGCCCGCGGGCCACGAGTTTGAGACCCCTGCGCTATAGGGACCTGAAAAAGATCAACCCAGACACCTTGGCCATTGACCTCCAACATCTCTCTTCTGCTCATTTCTCCTTATGCACTGAGTCGGTTGCCTTCTACAACCAATCACTGAGCAGTCTCCTAGATCTCCACGCCCCTGTCAAAACTAGAACTGTCAGCTTCTTCCGCTCAGCCCCCTGGTACACCTACGAACTCCGGCAAATGAAGACAGCTGGGCGTGTCCTTGAGCGGCGCCTCAAGGCCTCAGGACTCCCTGTTCATAGACAGGCCTACCGAGAACATCAGAAGTCCCATTCAAGGTCCTTGAGAGATGCACGTTCGCAGTTCTATTCCAACATTATCAATAACAGCCCTGGCAACTCCAAGCAACTTTTCTCTACCATAAATTACATCCTTAAACCGCAAACTCACTCTCATTCAGAAGCCACAGATGAGAGGTGCAACAATTTAATCACTTTTTTCAGAAAAAAAGTAGACACCATCCGCTCCCTGCTATCCAGTTTCTCCACACTGCCTGTCCCGACTGCTGACCCACAGCCTGGGATTTCCCAACTTCTCAGCTGTTTTTTTGCCATCTCACAGCGAGAAGTTGAGGACATCATCAAAAAGATGAAACCATCCACCTGTGCCCTGGACCCCTTCCCCACAGCCCTGGTAAAATCCAACCTCCATGCCATAAGTCCCCTCATCACAAAGGTCATTAACCACTCCCTCTGGACTGGCCATGTTCCATCAACACTGAAGACCGCTGTCATCAGGCCACTTCTCAAAAAACCCACCCAAGAACCAGAAGTCTTTGCCAACTACAGGCCCATCTCCAACCTTCCATTCCTTTCCAAGGGGGTGGAAAAAGTAGTTGCCGCACAGCTTCAGGACCATATAAAACAAAACGACCTGTTCGAGAAATTTCAATCTGGTTTCCGCCCTGGCCACAGCACAGAAACAGCCCTGGTCAGGGTCACAAATGACCTACTGATGACTGCCGACGCTGGCTCACTATCTCTTCTAATCCTCCTGGACTTGACTGCAGCATTTGATACTGTGGACCAAAACATCCTCCTCCACCGTCTACATTCCACTATTGGTCTTTCTGACCTCGTCCATCAGTGGTTCTCATTCTACCTCACCGGGAGAACTGAGTATGTCGCCTTGGGAGAGGCTAAATCCCTGACACACAATGTCACCTGTGGTGTCCCTCAAGGCTCAGTGCTCGGCCCCACCCTGTTCATTATCTATATGCTCCCCCTTGGCCATGTCATCAGCCGGCATGGAATTTCATTCCACTGCTATGCTGATGACACTCAACTCTACCTCAGGACAAACCCAACTCCCTCTGCTGCTCTGCATCCACTCTGACCGCCTGCCTGGAGGAGATAAAGGCGTGGATGAAGCAAAACTTTCTGCAGCTAAACATCTCAAAGACTGAAGCCATCTTAGTCACCACTCCACACCAGGTTCGGTCATCTGACATTACCAGCATCACCTTCTCCGGCCAAAATATTCCACTTTCAACATCAGTCACCAACCTAGGTGTTAAAATGGACTCCCATCGGACCTTTGAGGCTCACATCAAACATCTTTGCAAGACCTCTGTCAGGGGTGCGGGTGGAAGGCAGG